CTGGGGCGGCCGTTGGCGCCCGTCGGGGGCAGGTGTTGGTGTGCGCAGTTGACAGCCTCAGTTCTGAGAGGTCCTGGGTAAAACTGGCCTTGGGCCCCACGTTTACCTGCGAAACAGCGCGGCCAGACGTGCGGTGGGAGAGCGGCTCGTGGGCGGCCGTGCGCTGGCCCCTCTCCGAGGCCCACGGGGGAGAAGCTGGATGTGTTCCGTCCTCGCCGTTGTAGGATACCTGACGCTGGAAGAAGAGGGCCTCTGTGACAGTCTGTTTGGTCACAGAAGTGGGATTTTAAAAAAAAAAAAAAATTTTTTTTGGAGAGGTTTTTGGTATATGGCACGTGCGCTCGCCAGATAGAGACAGAGAGAGAGAAAGCGAGAAATCACCCCCCAGGGGGATGGCCACGCCGCAATCCCTTCTCCTCCGTTCTTCTTTCCGGATCTTGGGCACGCACGTACACGCGCCTGGCGTGAGTTTAAGCCACCGGGTCCGGGACTCGAACCGTGGTTGACTACGTGGGAGTTCAGCGACATAGCCATTACACTAACTGCTGGTTCCCTAAAAAACACTTCATTTTTTTATTGCAGGGCAAGTATGCTCTCCAAAGGCGGAGAGGGGATAGAGTAAGGGAAGGGGGAGGGGAAGCAAGTTACCCCCGACTCTCCCCCCACCGCGGCCACACCGCAGTCCTTTCGCTACTCTCATAAAGGATTTTGGGCACGCACAGGTGACGCTCGGCGAGTTTATCAAGGCGCCGGTTCGGGACTCCATTGTGCAGTTGGCCTCTTGAGATCCAGCTGTCTTAACTACCATGCCACCTGATGCCACCTGACTGGCCCGAATTGTTTGTGTTTTAAGGCACAAGTGATACTGCCCCTGAAGCTCCACAACTGTTGGTACTTGTCCCTACTTTTCTAAAAACACGATGAGGCATAGGGAAGGTAAACATCAAAGACTGAACTAAGAACCATTCTTGTGACATGGTATTTAACATAAATAAATAATTCTTTTAAAAATTTTAATTTTAGGGTAAGAATAAAATAATCTGGAAAAGTTGGAGAAGAAAAAGTATATTCAGTTCCCAAACCAAGAGACTGACAAAGTAGGTAAGCTTTGGAAGGTTAAGGTATGAAAAAAAAATTAAGTAAATTTACTGAGTGTATGATTTGAAGTATAAGGTGAAATTTAAAAAACTCTTAGAGAAAAGATGTATGTTGGTGGTTTAATTCTGACTATCATCTCAAAGGAGCATAAAGTAAAAATTCTCTCATCTGACCAATCAATACCTTAAAGGTAGTCACTGTTAACTTCTATACCTTCAGAAAATTTTATAAGGATATGTACATTTCAGCACATACAAAGTGATGTATTATGCATAAATACCTGTAAATTGCCTTTAAGTTGCCTGGATACCTTTTCACTATGTGTTTACATATTGATCTGCATTATTTTCTAATGAGAAAGTATTCTTTGAAGGAAGATACCATTATTTAGTCTGTTAGATGAAATTTTTATTTTAAATGTTAATTTTGGGACCAGCAGTTAGTGTGATGGCTATGTCGTGAACTCCCATGTAGTCGACCATGATTCGAGTCCTTGACGCGGTGGCTTAAACTCACACCGGGCTCGTGTGCGTGCATGCCCAAGATCTGGAGAGGAGAATGGAAGAGAAGGGATTGTGGCATGACCATCTCCCCAGGGGGTGATTTCTCCCTTTCTTTCTCTCTGTCTCTCTGGCGAGCACATGTACTCAATAGCAAAAACCTCCCCCCACCCAAAAAAAAAAATCTTAGTTTTGACATTGCGGGGCCAGCAAGTGGTGTGGTGGTTAAGGTGTTGTACTCCCACTTGGCCAACTGTGTTTCAGGTCCCAGATCTGGCAGCTTGCTTTCTCTCCTTTCCTTTCCCTTTCTGTCTGTCTGTCTGTCTGTCTCTCTCTGTGAACGCGCTTGCCCTATGGCAAATTAAATAATAATAATGACAAATAAAATTAAATAATTAAAACATTTTTGACATTGCTTTTCAGCATACATTTTGCTGAACATTTTCTACTAAATATATTTCATTTTGCCAAATACAAGAAAAAAACAAAATTTTAACTTCTCATGTCAGCTCCTGACTAAATTGCATTACTTTCTTTTTTAGTTTGGGATATCAGAATGAAAGAAAATAGTACAAATAAGCAGAGAGTTAAAATCAGCTCTGACTATAAGTTTTTTTTTTTTTAATTTATTTGACTGTAAAAGAGTTACAGTGATACTTGATTATTTTTATACTTATATGTGGTAAAAAGTATTTTTAAAAATCTTGTCTTATGTATGCCTATAGATAATACAACTGTAGTATTTCTTACAGTCTTGAATTGCATGAAGTGCACTTTTCTCTTTATCAGTTAGGGCCACAAATATGTGAGCCCCAATCTGGGTGGTGGCACCACTTGAATTTTCTGAGGCTTATAGCTGACTCACTAGAGGTCTAGGGCAAGTCATCTAACTCTGTGATGTGGTAAATGTAATTATTTTTCCACAGGTTGTAAGATCTAATGAATGTTTTATAACCATTCATGTTTAGAGATGAAAGGCAGTAAAGCATTAATGAATTAAACTTAAAACAATAATTTACACAGGAGAATGAGAAATGTACTTTTGGTATCACTTTATTCTCCATCATCTATTATAATGTTTATTAGCTAATATGGTGGAAGTGCCATAGGAAAACATTCTTCTCAAGAAATATTTCATAAAATTTGAAAATTCAGAAGTGGATTTGTTCCTGACACTAAAACAAATTTATGAAATAATTTATAAGCAGATAATTGTTTTTTAAGGTCTTTTTCTTTATATTTATATCCTTCATATGAGAGAGAGAGAGACAAGCATAGACAAGGATAAAAACCCCTAACCAGGGTCTCGTGCTGTGATCCTTTCTTAGCCTTCAGCCAGTCAGGTTTATGGGCTTGGGTGTGCGTTCCATTTACAGGTACACCTGGGAACCAAACCCCACCCCAGTCTCCAGCATTGCAGAGCAGTGCACTATTGCCAGTGCCACTGGCTGGGCCTTAAATAGGTATCTTAGCCAAAGGTTTCTTTCTGAGAAAATTTATATCTTTATATTCATGTTTCTTGGTGACTTTTAAAAGAAAAGCAGGAAATCTTGAACTAAGTATCAGTTTTTACTTAGGCTTTTTGCACTCATTGGAGGAAAAATATATTTTATATAGATTGCTTTTTTACTTTTTAAAAGCCTAAATTTATACAAATTGATTCTAACATTCATTTGGAAGAAGAAAGGCTAGGTATTAGGCACTTAAAATTATTTTAAAACTTTTTGTTAAAATATATCAAACAAGAGACCAGCAAATGGTGTAATGTTTATGTCACTGGACTCCCATGTATTCGACTGTGGTAGTCCTGGACCTAGGCGGAGAATGGATTGCAGTCTGGCCATACACCTGGGGGGTGATTTCCCATTTTCTCTTTTTCTGGCGAGGGCATGTGCCCTATAGCAAAAATCTCTCTCAAAAAAACCCTGAAACAAATTATATAATTTTAACCATTTTTTTCAGTTTGCTAGAGTGGAGAGAGAGGTGAGAAAGTACCTCCCGGGGATGATGGCCACACTATAATCCTGTCTCTGGTCTCTGTTCTCCGTTCTCCTTTTGGGATTTTAGACACACATGCATACGCGCATGGTATGTTTTTTCCAAACAGTTGAGTCTGGGATTTGAACCTCTCAGGGTTTAGCTATCTAAACCATCTCATCATCGACTGGCCCATTTTTTTTCTTTCTTTAATTTCCAGGGGGTTGTGTATGCTTACCAGAGGGAGAGGGAAAGAACACCCCCCTATTGGGATGTGGTCACGCCTCAATGCCTCTCCTCCATTTTTCTATCTTGTATGGATTCTGGACCGCATACACACATGCCAGTTGTGTTTTTCAAGCTGCCAGGGCTGGCACTGGAACCACTGTGGCTATGTGGGATCTGGTTCCCTTAACCACTAGGATACAGGGATAACTCATTTCAACTTTTTTTTTTTTTTTAATTTTAATGTAGGGTTCATGTATGTGCTGGAGAGAGACAGATACAGAGAAGGGGAAAGTGAGCAATCACCTCCCAAGGGGAGTGGCGACACTGACTCCATCCTCCTTTCAGGATTTTGGGTACACACACATGTGGCTAATGTGATTTTCAAGCCACTGGGTCTGGGACTTGAACTGTGGTGGGCCACCTGAGAATCCCCACCTTAACTGCTACCCCACCTATAGTCTCTCATTTGAAATGTACAGTTCAGTGGCAATGATTATTTTGTAACCACCACTCCCTCTATCTCTGGAGCTTTATTATCTTCCCACACACAAACTAGCAATTAGACAGAGATATAATCCCTTTCTCCCTCCAGCCTCTTAAAACTACTTTCTGCATGGCTTATTGATTATGGTGTAGTACATGTCTTTTTCATTCCAGTGTGATTATATATTTTTCCCCATTGATCCCATTGAATGGTTTATATGAATAGATTTTGTGTTGAGTTAACTTTATATATCGTTTTAGAAAGAACTTTAGTCATGTTTACAGTATGTAATGTACTTACAGATTTGTTTTGCTGACATTGTTTAGGATCTTACATCATTGTTCAATTTTGAAATTAGGCTGGTTTTAGTTTGTATTTCTGTTAGGTTATGGAATCATGTTCTTTGAAATAGTTCACAAACTTTCCAACTTTGTATTTCAGAACAGTTGAACAAGAAATTGTTTCTTGACCATTTGAAAGTATTCATCAGAGAAGGTTGCTTTTCCCTATCCTTTTTTTCAGAGTAGCACTTTTTTTATGCTGATTTCTTTTTTATTAATTATTTTATTTTATTTATTTTTAATTTGAACAGAGAGGGACAGAGAGAGAGAGTAAGTGAGAAAGTAAGCCACCATGTCCGGGACTTGAACCACGGTCTGCCATGTGGGAGTCCAGAACTCTTATCACCATACCACCTGCTGGTCCCCAGAATAGCACTTTTTTAACTTAAAACTTTCTCCATAGATGCTTTACTGGGTTGCTTTTGATAATATGAAATCATTTAGAAAATAATTCTTGGGACCAGCAGTTGGCATAATGGCTATGTTGCTGGACACCCATGTAGTCGACCATGATTCGAGTCTTGGACCTGGTGACTTAAACTCATGCCAGGTGCGTGTGCCTGTGTGCCCAAAATCCTAAGAGGAGAATGGAGGAGAAGGGATTGAGGGGTGGCCATACCCACTGAAGGGTGATTTCTCTCTTTCTTGCAAGTGTATGCACCCTATAGCAAATACCTCTCCAAAAAAAGAAAAGAAAAAGAAAATAATTCTTTTTTGGGGGTAGATTTTTAAGTAACCAGAATTATCTAAGAATTATTATAAGATTTTTCTTTTCTTGCCTGAGTATATGCGCTCGCCAGAGAGAGACAGAGAGGGAAGGTGAGAAAAATCACCTCATAGGAAGATGACCATGCAGCAGTTCTCTATTCTTCTCTCGGGATTTTGGGCATGCACATGCACACCCCTAGTGTGAGTTTCAAACCACTGGGTCCAGGATTTGAACTGTGTTCAGTCATGCTGGGAGTTGAGTCACTTTTAACTTCCATACCACCTGCTGGGCATCCCCCCAACTTTTTAAAAAATTGACTCCTCATTTTACATTTCTTCTTTTTCCTTGGTAATGAAAATGTCTGGCCACAGCTCGACCCTAGACAATTTTTTAAAAAAATTCTATCAATTTTTGTAAATTAAAAAAAAATTACGTGACTAAATTATGTAATGGCTGGGTATGTACCTCTCAGGTCATATTCTTTTCCTTCAAGACTTTGTGTCATTGCTACGTTGTCTTCTATCATTCCTTGTTGCTTTTATGATGTTCTGGTTATCTGTTGCCATGTAACATCTAATTGTTCTGCTGGCTGGATGTCCAAGATGGCTTCTTCACTCACAAGTCTGATACTTTCATTGCTCTTCCAGTTGGCCTCTTCAGCAGAGAAGCCTGGATTTCCTACCTTCCAGTTCACAGCTCCAAAGATGCACCAATTTCCCAGGCTAGTTAAGAGCTATACCAGAACTCACAGTGTCACTCATATT